CCACTGAGGATCCTACTACGCTCTATGCCCAATTCCACTAAACATCCTTCTAGGATTTGGCCTATATCCCAAAGAGGATCCTGCTAGGGTTTATGCCCGATCTCGCTGAAGATCCTACTAGGCTTTATACTCGATTCCACTGAACATATGACAAGGGTTTTTCTTCCATTGAAGTGAGGATCACTCTGGGGTTTAGCATCGATCGCACTGAGGACCTTACCAGGAATCGTAATGGACCCCACTGATGCATCATACGAGAATATGTTGTCAACCCAACTGAGGATCGTATAAGAGTTTTTTGTTAATTCTACTGAGGATGCTACGATGATTTATTCTCTGTCATACTGAGGAGAGGATTGAAACATATTTTTTGCGGGATTCCACTGAAGTTACAAATATGATTTAAGCGCGACCTCACTGAGGCATCACATGAAGATGTATTTTGCACCCTTCTGAGAATCGTAGCATCCTTAACGTTCGTTGTCGTTGAGAATCATATGCAGATTTATTCTCCATTTCACGGAACGTAACACTGGGGTTTATCTTCGCTCGTACTCAGGAATCTACTAGGACTTATGCTGGATTCCACTACGGGTTTTACTGTGATTTTTTCTCCAGCCCACGAAGATACCCCGCCAGAAGACATTCTCGGCTCGATTGTGGATCCGACTAAGGTTTATCCTCAATACTATTTAGAGTCCTACTAGGATTTATTGTCCACTCCACTGACAATCCTACCAGAGTTATGCTTGATTAGCTTTGTGTCGTACTAACATTTTTTCTGAACCCTGCGCAACATCCTACCAGGAGCTTTCGTCGATTCCTCTGAAGGTCCTACCACGGTTCATTCTCAATTCTACTGAGTATCTTGCTAAAAAATTTTCCTGACTCCATTCACAATTCTCCTAGAAGCTTATCGATTTTCGGAGGGTTTGACTCGATTCTGAGACAACACCGAATGAATTGCTATTGCCGTAGCAGTGGATGATCGTAACAAAAATGAAACAGAAGATTGCAAATGTGGCTGCGGCTGTATGCTAAAATAAGATGAGCCATAATTTACACCCATCGTATCCAAACTATTAAAGTTTCGGGTGTGCACATTTCTTCCAGGATTTCGTAGTTTTCTGAATGATTCTTTTTTCAAAAACAATGATAAATCGTTCAGGATGCTGTTTAAATTATGCTTCAAGTCCTGTGAGAATCTTCAAATTATACGGATACATGCATTCTTCAAGGCTCAGCTCCTTCCTCATTAAAAGTATTAGTCCCTGGAGGATCCGTATGGGATCGGTTAAAGGTCTAAAATGCATAAGGCAAAGTGTCTCTCATTGCAGTTGCTTTATATCTTGTTTGTACTATGGGACTCGGTATAAACAGACAAAGATTTTGAAACGAATCAGATAAACTTTTTTTGACACTTTTCTAAATTCTTGAGGAAGTTGTTATATGGTTTGTTTGGGAAAAATTATTTTATTGTGGTAGAAAAACTTAAAAAGTTAAGAGTTTAGGTTTTAACGTCGATTTCACGGTTGCTCCATTTTTTCATTAAATTGTTATTTTTGGTATTTAGTATGTCATCCGGTTGCATTTGTTCTCAGTTTCATTTATTCATAAAAATCGAAGTAGAAATGTATTGTTTAAGTCAATTTGAAATCAGCTAAAAAGTTCTAGAATTCAATCAGTTGAAGAAAAAATTTAAAACGGCGATGCATTTTTAAAACTGTTGAAATATGTTATGTTCAGATAGAACTCAAATGAAAATCTAAAGTGAAGTAAGAATTTAAGATATCGAACGTTACAGTTACATATGATAACATGGTATAATCCATCTGGGTAAGCTGATCGGTTTGTATACTGAAGGTCTAGAGATCAATGCACTGTGTGTCCATTTTCTTTCTCTTATGTTTAGGAAATCCTGGAAAGATCCTATGAAGAAATGTCATAATATGCTCAATGAAACCTAGTAAAACGCTGTAAAGAGCCTACCAATAAATCTGATAAGATACTCGAGTAAACCTTGCAAAATCCTGTAGAATTTAGACCAGAATTTTTTTACTAATTAGGAATCCCCAAAATCTTGACAGTGTTCTGATTTAAAAGCAATCGTAAATCTCTCAGAATCCTGATTGAATCTTGTTTTGAATCTTGAAATTGCCAGACTACGCATTTTCTTCAGGGTTTCGTCGTTTCCTCAGGAAAACAGAGTTAATCCTGGCGGAATCCTTATTGAATCCGATAAGGATGTAGAACGAAAATGTCAAGGATTCTCACTAGGGATATGATCACTCGGTGCTGATACCTAGGTGGGTTTCGAATCCAGTCTATGTTCGTCTACAAGCTGCTTTCGACGTCACAGTATCGGCATTAGACCCGACTCTGATGCTCATCTTGATGACGGTTTGGAATGCAGATTCTAACTTGGTTCTGGCACTCTTCCGGATTTCAAGCGTGGATAGGAGTGTGGGTATATGCGGACATTGCTGTAAGTATTATTTGGGATAGGGGTTCCACATTCACACTCAACAATAATCGGCAAGTTCGATCTCAATTATCATGATTTTTTTTTGATTAATTTATAATAAAAGTAGAATAGACAACTTTAAAAAATAGAGAAGATATGACCAGAGATAGCAAAAGTTTATGACCTTCTTCTGATACTTTGAGAAAAATATGTTACTGGGTGATATATTTAAAGCTTATTATCCATTGAAAGTTCTCCTAATGTTTAACGTATCAGAATATTTAATATAGCAGTAGCATTGAAACATTTTTTAGACATTTCAAGGAGATTCTCAGCGATTTTTCAATCAGTTCGTGATGCTGAAAAACATAAAATTTTGTAATAAAAGCTTAATAGCGAAAACATTTTTCCAGATACTTGTAATTAACTTTTTCAGCCAGTTTGACAAAGCTCATGTTTCATGATGAGAGAAAATTATTTCATAGTGATTATTATTAAAAATTCCACATATCAACTGACTCGAGATTTTCGATCTCCTGTCAACTCAATAAAAATTGCATCATTCGAGATAGTATAAAAAGCTGAGCACAACAGAATAATTTTTCGGAGACATACTCCTAGATTTTCAGCAAAAATTTTTAAAATAGATTTTCCAGCAAAATTAGTAAGGACCTTTCGTTATCTCTATGTTTCTCTCTCTAAGTCGCCTATTTTATTTGTCGTTATTTCATTTTCATCGTCTTACTTGACATGTATATGAATGTACCCGCTTGTACATATGTTACATACCCAACTGATAGCAATAGAAAAACCTTGCCATACTACTGGTAATAATAATGATGACATCTTGGTTTCATTCAGAAACAATTACTAATTTTAAACATTCTTCCGAATAAAAACAAGACATTTCTACGGAATCATATTTAATCATTATTTTATGTGATCTTTATTTGATATAAAACATTTTTCTCGATGAAGCATTTCTGAATAAAATTGCTTCGTTATTAATTATTTATCGTATTGACATTTATGATCAAGAAGGAAATGATATCAAATCAATAATACAAACCTTATGAAAAGTCAGTTCACAAAGAATTATATAATTCAATGAACACATTTGTGAACAAATAATATTGAGAACAACTAAATAATACTATCAATATCTGTAACACCTAATTTGAGAATGAATTTATCACATTAAGTTCACGTTTAATAAAGAAAGAAGAGAAAATACAACAGAAACAAAAATTACATAGGATACGTCATATTTAGACGAATCAATAATGGTGGTAGAACAAATGCAACTTCGATCCGAATCCTACGCGACGTAGATCTCTCGTTTGCTGTTGTTTAAAAGCATTTTCTTCGTTTTTTTCCCAAAAATCAGAAAAACTTTCGAAAGATCTTAATGGTCGCTGGAATAGTAGATCAAGCTGATTAAGAACATCAAAGTTTTTGAAAACCGAAGCTTTTCCTCTAGAATAACTTTCCGTTCGCTCAAAAAGACTTTTTCTTTATTAGCTGAATGCTTCATGTAAGACTTTGATTATTGATATCATTTGAATATAACTCATGAAAATGATTAAATAAAATAATTATGACTAATTTTAATGATGATGTGAATATTGATAAACATGATTATTTGTTTATCTAATGATAAAAAAAACATAATTTTTCCTTTTGAAATATATAAGCCATTCCATAGAAATGTTCTTCAACACATTGAATGAATATCTTTAGTTATATTATGTGATTTTTCATCATATTAATAATGCTGATTAATTAATCAATCAATGATTATGTTCTATTTTTTTCCATCTTTTACTTCTATGTACATCATTTTAATGAAACCATATACTGAAGTTAATTCTGCTGAATAATCTTTTCTTTCCTCTTTGCTCTTCACAGTTTTAATTCTATTAGTTGGTAACTGCCCCTACTATTGCTAAATTTCTTAAACACTTATGATATTTACAAGTTTACATGATTGAGTTTTGGAACGTAGTTCCAAACAATTCAAGAATTTTGAAATGTGTTAATAAATTAATGATGTCTCTTTTTGTTTTACTCAAGATCTTGGAAGAAGACAATCGAAAACAATATCATTTCCAATATCTTGATTTTTAAGAATCTTTGAATTGATCTTGCCAAGATCTTAGGTACAGATTTATCTAATGCAACCAAGACATACATATACAGATTATCTTTTCAAGATCTTGATAAGATCTTGCTTAAAAGATGTGCGATTAGGGCATATGCTATTAAAGATTCATTTGATTTTTTAAACAAAATTAAATCATCAAAAAATGTGGATAAGATAATGATTTCGTTCGTCGTAGTAAGTCTCTTTACTAATGTTCCACTTACATATACAATTGATTTTGTTCTTGATCAAATGTATCTTACATGTAGAAAATCATGTTTGAAAAAGAAATTGCCAAGAACAAAACAATGTAGTAAATGTAAGCGGAGAATTAACTTTAAAACTCTACTTCGAACAGCTACGTCTGATATACATTTTACCTTTAACAACAAAATGTACGTTCAACATAAAGGTGTTGCAATGGATGCTCCATTAGCTCCAATGATTGCTAATATCTTTATGGCTCATCTTGAAACAACATTGATGGACAGATTATTGCAATTTGGTGTATGTGAATGATATCGTTATGCAGATAATACATTTGTACTTATTAATCCTGATACAAATGTAGATAACACATTATCCATTTTTAATGATTTTCATTCATTCATTAAGTTTACCCATAAAGTGGAAAGTATAAGAACAAATTGAAATTCCTCGATGTGCAAGTTATCGATTATCTGAACAACAATGCTCCGAGACGACAATTTATCATAAACCAACGTTTACTGGTCTATTAACAAATCCGAATTCTTATGTTCCCAGCCAAAATAAGAAAGCTAGTATGGTTAGTATGGCTAATCGTGCACTCCTTATATGTTCAACATATACACTATTAGGCACTGAATTTAATGAAATAAGAAGAATTGGTTTAGAAAATGATTATCCATTATCTTTTATTGATACTACTATTGGGATTAAACTAAGTCAACATCGAAATAAGATTAATAGAAAATTAAATAAACCAATAATTCGATGTGATAAGAAGAAAATATATATCGAGATACCACTTATTAGATCTTTCACATTAGAATTAAAGAAAAAAAATCATACACCTCTCTAATTAATTACGACCTGATCTCAACATCCAATTCTTCACCAAACCACCATCATCGACACAAGCATTCTTCCAAACCAAAGATCCAATTGTTAAGCATATGCAGTCTGATGTAGTATATTATATTAAATGTAATGACTGTGAACATTCGTATATTTGCAAGACAGAACGTCAATGTATACGAAGATTTTATGAACATGGTGCACCCGAAACAACCTATCAACAACAGCAGTATAACCATGTAAGTGATGATCCTAATAACAACAACAGAATTCCAGAATTAAGAAGATCATCACGGATTAAAAATAAAATAGCAGAAGCAACAGCAGCAGTAACAACAACAACGATAAAAAGAATGACAAGTCATCAATTACTCAACATGAAAACAAAACAGGTCATCATATGGCCTGGAGTAATTTTCAGGTAATATGGCAAGACAATCATCCTTATTGTTTGTTAATTAAGAAGTCATTATTGATCAAGGCTTGTGAACCAGAACTCCACAAAGCAACACATCCGGTACCATTATTTGTTTTTTCTGATAGGCTACCGAGGATTCTGTTACCAAGTCCTGCTCATTGATGAAGCTTCAAGTCGTTTATTATTGTATTTTCGTTATTTTCATTTTTCGTTTCTCTTTTTCTTCTCTCTTTCTTTCTACTGTCTTCCTTTTCTTTTCGTTCTTTTTCTTTGCTCAATGAACAACTTCCTAAGATCTTAAGGCGCCCTCCCCCCTAAAAAAATCCATTTTTTGGTAAAGTCCTCGAAGTAGAATTTTTATCATAGGCAGATGCAGCGAAGTTTCCTCTTTCAGAATATATATAAATTTTTAAAAAAGCTCAAATTTTTACACACTTTCGTAGGAGATTTCCACCTCACTACCCGGTTTTCGAAGAGATTTTCGCGGTTTTTGTTATTTTTGGGAAGACTACTTTTTTACTTCTATCAACATGGAATAAACATTCTTATATCATATTGTACGACCTGTAGTGCTGGCTTACACCATCTATTGCGTGTTTTCAAAAATTCCACATAAATATTATCAATATACCATTATTTCCTGCATTTGACTGAAAAACTCCATTTCTAAAACTTCTTTTCGCGGTTTTTTCAAAACATGGTTTCCAGACAGGAAAATTGAAATAACTTCCGCTTGGCTCGGTGGTGCCCCCGATATTTTTTTTATTTTAAAGGTCTTGACGAGAGCTAACTTTTGATCGGACGGATTTTTGATACTTGACTCCTGGACTAAGAAAAGTTGGATTTACCGTCGTCCGTTGACCGTTTTTAGGCCTCCTTTGAAAGTCATGTCCACTGAAATGCTTATAAAAATGAATGGGAGGTAATTTAAAAATTCTGTCAGATGAAAAGTTGCGCACAGAGGCTAGCTTTAATTTGAAACCAGCCCGACCTTGATACTTCTTATAGCCATGAAGTTATTTCGATTCTTGTGGAAGCTATAAAACAAGCCGAAAATCTTGTTTAGTAAGGTATATAAGGCTGAAATTTTTACCATAAGCGTTTCTCACTAGTACCATTCATTCCTGAAAGTTTCAACCCAAACGGACCGTTCTAAGTGGCAAGTCGATTTTGAGGGGGGGGGGGGGGCTTAAGAGAGAATCCACGAGATCATCGAGTATCATGCCAGAAACCGAAGCACTCAACAAAATTTAGTATTTTGATTTGATGTTCTCATCTTAATCAGTATCATCTGAAACCTATAAATACAAATTTTTAGCGCGTTTGGTTGAACTGGTGAAAACTTAGCCCGGATCGACTTTCGAGCACACACGAGCCGAATTTAAAAATATCATCAAAAGCAGTTCATAGAAAGTTAACCTCTTTTAGAAAACAAAATATTAACCAAATCTTCATTGTAATATATCGAAAGATGGAGTTTTAAAAGCTGAATAAAACTGACTATTTATGTATTATGCTTCAGTGTACTCATCCAGAGTTATTCGCCAAATACTGTCAATGACTGGCCATTTTTTATTACAAAAATATCTCAACTGTTTGCAATATATTGGCTGTCATTCAGTCACTTCATGGATACCCAGACTGAATTTGACATATGTTACGCAGTTTACTCTCCTTTACAAAATTATTGAAAGAAAGTTGAAAAAAAATTCCGCTTGGGGCGAAAAATGACTCACAATGTTGACCAATCAGACAATACTTTTATGAAAAAAGTTACTGTAAATGTTTTTTTCTGAAAAATGAAAGTTTGAGTAAATTATGAAGTACCCACTTAAGTGAAGTTGGGTCTGAATTCCAGTATATCCGTGCAAGATTTATCTAGGAACATGTTCCAAAATTTATATTTATGTCCCAAGTAAAACTCGATGAGCTCTATTTAATGGTTCAATCAGATTTTCCATAGATCAAACCATGATCCCAGAAATCCAAAAATATTGATATTTTCCTTTTGGAACTTTCGATCCAGATTCGAGTAATTTCATGCGAGATTCGTCCAGAGACATATTTCAATTATTCAATTTACGTTCCAAGCACAACTCAACGAGCTCCAGAGAATGGTATGCTTGGATTTCTAATAGCTCAAAGAATGATTTTTGGGTCGATAGATGGTGCAAGAGAAAATCTGAAAATCTTTCTTTGAGCTATTAGAAATCCAAGCATACCATTCTCTGGAGCTCGTTGAGCTGTGCTTGGAACGTAAATGGAACAATTGGAACATGTCCCTAGATGAATTCTGCACGGATATAATCGAATCCAAACCCAACTTCACTTACGTGGGTACTTCATAATTTACTCAAACTTTCATTTTTCAGAAAAAAGACATTTATAGTAATTAACTTTTTTCAGAAAAATATTGTCTGATTGATCAACATTGTGAGTCATTTTTCACCCCAAGTGGAATTTTGTTTTCAACTTTCTTTCAATGATTTTGTAGAGGAGAAAAAACTGCACAACATATGTCAAATTCATCCTGGATACCGATGAAATGACTGAATGACAGCTTCGATTTCTGGATGGGTTCATGGGTGCTCTCTTAATAAATCTTGATAATGATGACATAGACCATCGAAACGTCGAATAATAGTGTTTTTTTGATTGTAAAAAGAAATATTTTCAATAATATTAATACAAAGCCGCTGTTATCGTTTCATTTATTATTTCTGTATTGGTCCATATGATCTGCCAATGGATTCAATTATTTTCCTTCTTCTTCTCTTCCTTCCATCTGCCTACGTGATTTTGTTTTTTCTTGCATTGATGATATTTTGGCCTCTAAAGAATTAGAAAATGGCAGCTGTAGTTCAAGCTCAAATTCGTAAAGTCGAAGAAAAACTTAAACCATACTTATACGAAGGTCCTCTTACTTCATATTGGGGTCTTATTGAAAAGAAAACAAAAGTTAAACGTGAACAGATTGCTTTCGGTAAATTTTGATTTTTATTATTTTTATCGGTCAATTATTATCTTTCATGAGACTAGGTTTATTTGGTTTTCTTACTATTTATTTAACATTTGGCTGGGCTAACGACTTCATTTGTAATTTTCTGGGATTTATCTATCCAGCTTATGCTTCGTAAGATATAATTTTTATTTAATTTATATAAAGAAATAAATTCGTTTGTTTTTGTTTAAATAGAATATTGGCTGTTGAATCAAAAGTGACACCTGATAATACAGAATGGTTAATCTATTGGGTTGTTTATGCTTTATTTGGTTTTATTGAATATATTGGACATAATTTCTTTCATACATTACCTTTCTATTGGCTTGGTAAATGTCTTTTTCTTATATGGTTAATGGTACCCGGAGCTAAAGGCGGTTCTCAAATTTTATATCTTCGACTTATTCATCCTTTTGTACTCAAGCATCGTCCCACGAGTGATCAACGTATGTAAGATAGTAATATGAATATATAGATACATTTATTCGAGAAATAATATTCTATACATATATTTTTTTTGTAGCTAAAGCTTTCGTAAACAAGTATTCGACTGGTGGTAACAATTAGAATGTTGCTTGAAATTAAAATGGACAATTTTAAAATGTTTGTGCTGTGTGTGTGTGTGTGTGTCATTTCTTAATTCAACCCAAGAAAAATAAACTAATTCTTTTATTCTAATGTGTGTCACTTTAAGTAAGATATTTCTCTGATAATATTTAATCCAGACTTATTATCATCTTGTAAACCTACTCGAAAATCATTTGTAACTTTTTTCAGTAGAAATTATATGATATTGGAGTGATAGAAGCACTTTAACATATTTTCAATAACTAAAGTATTCTATTGAATAGAGAACGAATAAATGAACAATTTCTTTGATCATTATATACTAAATATTTATTCGAAACTATCAAAGGTCAGATACTTTGTGATGGTGGCAAATGACAAAAACAATAATAGATTTATTTTTAAATCAGAATAAATAAAAAATCGCAGGTCATTCCAGTTCCGACTGGGTGAAATCCGAGCCTCAATAGGGAAGAGCTGACACCGGCATGTTTAGGCACAGTATTATGGCTATAGTTCAACTTTAGAATGATTTTTTTCTAAGAGAAGTTAATCAATAGCTAAAATATTGATCTTTTATTTGATCATGTACAGAATGACAGGAATCGATGAAAAAACTCTGATATAAACTCGGTGAGATCCAAGTCTGTATCTGGTCCATATCAGCACCTTCCTACACACAATACTTCATTTATCAAGGAACATGATGAGTGCATAAGTGTTGATCGACAACCCGATGACAACTTGTTTTTTTTTGGTGCAGAGTTATTGAGTGGTGAGAAAAATTTACGCTCAGTGTTTATGTTGTATGTTGGTAGTTATGGAAACAGAACAAATGATTCTTTACTTATCAAACACATTTCACTCGAACATTTCTTTTGCTAAATTATTCTTATATTACATATGTAAATGGTTCATGGTTATTAACGCGACGTTTATCGCTAATCGAATAGAAATCATGATGGTGTTTTAATTCGTCAAGAATAGACTGTCTTTTCTAGTTTTCAGCATGTTGATTCATATTAAACATGACAGTACCTTACTGAGAATCCAACAGGCTTGTGTTCTCATAAACAGTCGAATACTAATTTGTGTCCTGACTGATACTTTTTATTTCATATTAGAAAATTACAATGTCATTCTAATAATGGTAGTTATAGTTTATATAAATCTCCATTCACGCCACCCTATACTTGATAATATAACGATGTTGTCTTTTTGTTCAAAGGAATAGTTTGTTAATTCATTTTATTGTGAAATTCTAACTTAAAAAGCTTTATTTATTCATTATTTATTAATAACAATCATGCGTCGTATTTTTTTCAAAACATTCAGAGAAAAAGAGTACCTGTTTGTTAATCAAAATCTAATTCGTCCTAACTAAAATTACTTGTATGACATCCTTACCGTGGTAAATAATGAAAAGCAGTGCATAATTGACACCTATTGTAATTAAATTACTTGAGCAACATTTCCAATTTAACCAATAACAACTCGATATATTAAACAAATTCACAGTAAAAAAGTATACAAAGAAGCCATGTTATCTTCTTTATATTTCTTCCTTTTTATTTTTATTATGCCAAAAAGCGGAGTGTAGATGTGCGGGTAAATACAGCAAACATCCCTAACCTGCACATCACACCCTACATCCGCACTTCCATCAAGACAGTTTTTATTTCTGCATGTTCATAGAAACACTGACGGATTTACCCCGCATTCGGTCGCATTTGATGATAAGCTTTTCCTTATCTTCATGATTAGTCATTTGATAAATTTATTTTCGAATGGTCACCGATTGAGCAAAATCCATATAGTAATTCGACTTAAATCAAATGACTTGTCAGCAACTATTGTTACTATACACATATTGAATACGAAAAGCGAAAACAGCAAGTAACATTCAATTCATAACTACACATCATTATACATTTATATTTAACTATCAAGATTTACAATTAGAAATTCAATGCAGCAGAATTCATAAAAACAAACAACTTAATGTTTTTCATCATATACATAATGTGTGTGCATAATAAATGTTGACAACTTTTGTAATTGTCTTTCTATTCTTGATTATATAAGTTATTCTTTCCTATATGCAATATAATTATTAATCATTGTAATTGATAATATAAGGTATCCCAATAACAAATCATCAAATAAGACTAAATTGAGGAGTGTCCTACTGAAGAATCCATCCGCGAATGATCAACCAAATTGAACGATTAATTTTTCGTCATCGAAAGGAAATGATTTTGTCTAATTCTTTTAATTTTTGCCAATCAACATTTATTCAACTCATTTATTAAATAATATGACTAAAGACAATCGATAGTGACATCTATATTGATATTTGAGAAACAAAATCAAATTTAATTGTAAGAATTTCGAATATCTCAGATAGCTTCTATTGAATTCTATTAAATAGATTTAAATCAATGATATTTTTTTTATTGTTTGTCAAACCTCCACCATATGTTTCAACAAAGAAACATAGTCATGGTGTTTTCAAACAATAAAAAATAAGCAGGTATCGCATTTACGGTACGCAAAACAGACAGAATATCATATGTGTGTACGTTCATAGGTGAAGCGCCACCTGCTACATCAATGCTAATGACATTTCAGATTGTTTTTAAATTTCAGATTTTGATATTTGTCTTACTTAAACAATAAGAAGACATGACTGCTCGTGATCAAATTCGAGCTATGTTGGATCAATTGATGGGATCTGACAATGGTATGTTAATTAGAACGTTTGAAAAAGAAAGGATAGTTTTATTCAGTTCAAAAATAATTTGATCGATTTGAGAGCATGCATTTTTAATCATTAAATTTTGTGCTCTTTAATAGTAGCGCCCTGTTTCTCTTCATTTAAGGCGCAGAGAGTCCACTTTTCATTGATTGTGATTACCTACTATGTTTAACATTGGGCAAACTCGTGAGTGTTATTTGTTTTTTTCTAGTTTTTCTCTTTGTCTATCGTCGAATAAACATTTCATCCCTCATACAAAATCTTTCTCTCTCTCTCTCTCTCTCTCTCTCTCTTTCTTTCTGAACGCTATGTTTTTAGCTAATGTCATGATGAATTTATCCATGTTAGACTTTATAAGTCTTACTCGCAGCAGCAGCAGCTACAAAATAAATATCGTGAGTATAATAAAAACGAGAAAGTAACTCCTCTGGCTAAAATAAAAAATTAGAGGGTATGTATCCATAAATATTCAAGGAGTTTCAGGTAAGTATTATAAGAGAGAATTTAGATTAATAATCTATTGAGAAGTTTTAAATTAAAAATACAATCATATTCTTATGAAATTCTAGGTATGACGAAATCCAGTATGTCATTTGAAGATCGTCGTGTATGTCGACCATTTTTATTAAATTGTTGTCCACATGAAATTCTAGCTGGAACAGTAAATTAATTTAATATGATCGGAAAAAACGAAAATAATCAATTTGTTCTTTTTTGACTTTATTTATTAGAGAGTGGATTTAGGTGAATGTGCAAAAGTACATGAATATGCTTTACGTGCTGATTATGAACGAGCAGCAGCAATACGTAATTTATATTATGAAATTGATGTAAGATTGAACTTTCTGTTTTTATCTTATTGATAAGCAAGATATTTTTTGAATATTAGGCATTAGAAGTATTAAATCAATTTGTTGCTGAAGCTGATCGAAAAACTGAACATGCAAAACGAAAACTTCGTGAAACACAAGAAGAATTAGGTGAAGAAGCTGCACGAAAAGTAAATTATCTTCTTGTTTTTTTTTGTGAATGAATTATATTAATAGAAGAGATATTTTCATTTAGATGAATTCAATTCATGAGTTAGGTGAACAAATTGGTACAAAATTAGCTAAAGCCGAAGAATTAGGTGCTCAAGGTTTAGTTGATGAATCAATGAAATTATTAGATGAAGTTGAAGAATTACGAAAAGCTAAATCAGATGCTGAACAAGAATTTCGTGCAACAATGCCAGCATCAACATATCAACAACAAAAATTACGTGTTTGTGAAGTATGTTCAGCGTATTTAGGTATACATGATAATGATCGTCGTTTGGCTGATCATTTTGGTGGAAAATTACATTTGGGTTTTATACAAATACGTGAAAAATTAGCTGATTTAAAAAAACGTGTCAGTGAATTTAATGAAAAACGTGAATTAGAAAGAAAAATGCGTCGAAAGTAAATACAAAAAAAAACAAGAAAATAATAATAACAATGATTATTGCTTATTTACTTTTTAGTTCACCATCATCAAGAAATGACCGTGAAGAAAGAGATGGAAATGATCCGTATAATCGAGATAATCGTACATCACAACGCAGTCGAAGTCGTAGTCGATCGAAAAAAGTTTCGAGTAGAGATAAAGATCGACGACGATCACGATCAAGGTAAGGTAAATTAATAAAGAAAAAACAAACAATAACTTATTTTTATAGATCTGGACATCGTTCATCAAAACATTCACGTAGTTATCGATCGTCGCGTTCACGTTCACGAGATAGAAGACGTCACAAACGTTCTCGATCACGGTAAATAACAAAAATATTCGAATTTTCTTAAGATTGATTAGTTATTTTACTTCATAAAAACGATTAATTTCAAATTTTAAGTTATTCTCTTCTATAACTGCAAGCAACAGTCAGTAACATGTATAATCTAAAGTAGATTGTTTAAATGAATTAGTTTCTTTTTTTTTTTCAAACAAACAGATTATCATATAAATATTCATTGAATAAAGCAAAGAAGGACGATCAAAAACCTTCAGAGAGCCACTTTTCACTAAGTGTACCAGCAATTGGTTTCTCGAATGAATCGTCACTCCCAAATTGCGAACACTTTTATTATGAAATAAATAACACATTTTATTAGAATAAAATATTTATTAAAATTTTGAACATATAAATCATCCTCATACACGACACATAGCTCAATCTCGTTTTAAATCAGATAACATGATTTCAACATTTTCTAATAATTCAGTATCATGATTATGATTTGGACTGTTTTATTTGTAAGGTAACTCTTGCAATTGTTGATCAAGTAAAGTTTGTGTCCATAATTTAAAATACAACATGATATTTTTATCCTTGTACTCCTATATTTATATCATCAATAGAATAATAAATTAATCTAAATTTTGAAAATATAATAAAAATGAGAATAAAATAAATTTCTGCTAATTGACTTAAGTATTTTTCGCTATTTGGACATATCCATTTGATTCAAACCGGAGACAAAAACATCGGTATACCATCGGTAGTTTGAATAAACACGTCCGATATTCGTAGTTAAGATGAATATCGAATTTTTATTACTTTTTTCCAAATAGTCTCAGATTGTGTTTACATTTTTGTATATTAAACTAATTTACTTGACTTTCATTGAAAGATTTTCTTATTATATATGAATAGTATCCAACTCGATTTATTTATTATTATAGAATTGAGTTTTATTATTTAGTTCTGGTTCGTCACGTCGTCATCGTCGTTCTCGATCTCGAACACCATCATCACGACGACATCATCGTCATCGACATGATTCTCGATCACCTGTACATTCATCATCAAATTCCAAACAAAATGGTAATAATGATAATAATCGTCGTACAGATTCAACTACTACTACAACACATGTTGATGATGATGAAGAAACAACACGTATCCTCGAAAATATTCAACGAAGTATGAAAGAAGATAATAATAAAGAACAAGCAAATACATCAATGGAATAAAAAAAAGAAAAAACCTAAATATTATTATCTGTATATGTTTATTTCTTGTGCGTGTGGTAATTATGTTCGTCTTCTTTTTTCTCTCTCGGTTCGAAATTGAAACTGTTCAACATATATATTATACAAAAAAAAACAAATCTTAATTTCTTCTTCGTTTTTTTAAATATTATTCTGTTACTTATTTTAGAGAAAAAAATTAATAATAATTTCAAAAATAGAGTTCGATTTCGAATTTCGTCTTACTTGTTATTTATTTATTTGGTTATCAATTGCTCTTCTTACTATTTTTCTTGCTTGGTATCGTTACGGTTATAGTATCATTCAACAATTATCTAAAACACGTAAGATATTTTAACTGATTTGATTGATCCGTAAACGTGTTAGGTTCGAGATCGTGTTTCTGCACAACTCGATATTTTAATTGTGTAGAGTCTAAAATCTCGAAAAACTAAATCAAATTCCATTTTGAATTAATCATTTATAATTATTTCAAAAGTTTGATTTGATACAAAAATAAAACAAAAATTTCTTAAGTTTTCATATTTTGTTTATTTTAGCTTCAAATCTTGAAACACATGGTCGATCACGTTCATATAATTCATTAGATAGATTAATATCAAATTCATCGAATAATACAAATATTGTAGTTTCTTCAAAAAAACTTGATTAATAATGTACTAATGGATAATTCTGTTTATTTGGATGAAGATATTCCATTTGTTGAATCAGGTGATTATGAAATCGATGATGGAACTGGTGGTGGTGCTGGTACTAGTGGCGGTGGTAATGGTTCAACAACTACACTTGCACACGGTAATATAATATCATTAAATCGTCAAACACATCAATATCATGATGATTCAATGTGGACAACAAATGTACCTGCTAAACGTGGTCGACGTCCAAAATCAACTGCTGTTGTTATAACAACTACAGGACAAGCAATAGAACCTAAACGACGTGGTCGAAAACCAAAACAACAATTATCATTAACAAATAAATCTTTATCATCAATAGATAATGATACTGAATCAAATGATATTCTATCAGAATCTACAGATGATATTAATCAAAATCACCAACGACGTTCAACAACAGGAATAAAATCAAATAAAAGAATTAAAATGGAAGAACAACAACACATAACAGGTACATAAGGAAAGCTACCTTTTGCCAATTTCTAGAAAATTAAGATCGTCATGGGTGAGTTGCTACGTTGTTCAGTACGTATCCAATGGTTACTGTATGTTCAAACATTGAACAAGTCGCTATGTGTTTTTTGCCTTGGACCATCCATTCGATAACATGCTGACTGAATTGTGACATACACATGCGCTCATGGCTAGTATGTGGTTAGTCTGTGGTGGATAAGGAGCTCAAGTGACTGAGTACAAGAAGTCTATGCCAGGTCGACTTTTGTCCAGAGCTAAAATTTTATACATCTTCTAAATGAATTATGACTACGCCAAAGTCTTGATGTAAATTATTCCTCTTCTCCTAGCTCTACTCTCAGACACTTCGGGTGAGATATGTTCTTTTTCGGACAAATTTATTCATATCCTATCATTATTCTATATAGTTGTATTCTAAAAACATCGGAGATCTTATTCGCTAATTAAATAAAACTATGATGAAATATTTCGTAGCTTTATAGAATTGATGTTTGAAATTTTATGCGTAAATTAATATTAATTTCAGATTTTGAATTCAATACAATCCTCTGATAATATAAATCAACAATTTCATGACATTGAACGACGTTCAATATCATTCAAGAGATTAGCAGCATACTATATAGTCTTCCAATACAAACATAGACAGATCTACGAATATACTATTTGTAAAACACAATCTAAAAGGAGTGTTAAAGTATAGAAGTAAAATTTTAGGTATCCACAGACTATAACAAGTGCCTTAGCAATACTTCTTCCTCCTGGATAGAATTTCTGATTGCTTTTAGAGATACAAACGGATGAATATTCGACGGAAAACTGTTTTCGCTAGTCTTTTGCATAGATTGTCTCTGACAGAGAATGTCTTCCTATCAACATTCATCAGAAGCAGAACCAAAATCCCTAGAGTCCGATTTCTATCACAGCTTCCTACAAGACTAAAATTTTGCAGAAAGTTCGAACTTTTGAGAAGATAAAGTCTCCGTTATCTCCTTTCTAATCATTAAGGTTGTTTCCACGTCCTAGACCGTGACAGACGTTGTTAATATACGATCAAGGCCCATGTATAAACAACGTCTCGTGATAATGTATGACCTACTTATTGCATTACTGGAGGACTAAGTAAAACAATGGTGAAGAAATTTGTCTCAAAATACATAAAATAAAGCAAACTCCCTACAATTAGCAACAACAACTATATCGCTTTTTACATTTCAGTTCCATACGGATTGCACTAATAGCTTTTGCTATACGATGTAAAAAATTTAACATTCTGTATATGTATTTCTTTTTGTTAGGTGAACCTAATCCTATATTACGTGCAAAACGTACTGGTAAAGTCTCATCTCAACAAGATACTCCACAAGTTGCTTCAAATATATCAACAAAAATGAATCTTGGCACAGCTGGTAATATTGTTATTATGGGTAGTAAAAATGGAGATAATACATCAACAAATAATAATCCAACAACATCATATGATCAAGCAGCTATATTACAAGCACTTTGTCAAGCAGGTGTTAATCCATTACATCATGATCCAACAGGAGATGATTCAGATACAGATTCTGATGATGAAAGTGGTTCAGATGATGAATCACTTGACAGTGATGATGATAATAATCAATTATCGGATATGGATGATGATGATGATGATGATGACGATGATGATGTAGCACATTTAATAAGTAAAAATTCTCGAGGACGACCACGTCGACAAACAAATAAAAATTCAAGTCATAAAAAATCTTCTTCGACACGTCGTTCAACAACAACATTAACAACAAATTCTCAGAATAAAATTAAACAAAATAAAAGTGATACAGATGATGATGACTCATCAGGTGATGAAGATCTTGATGATTTAGGTGTTGGTAATGATACAAATAATAATTTAAGTAACATTGTTAATCCACTTGATAATGATCCATCATTATTAGTGCCAGCTGATTTTTCTAATCCTGATTATGTTCAAAATCTTGTTAAACCACATCGTAAACGACGTACACATTTACCTATAGATGATCAACCTAAAACCATACGTTGTCCACAATCAGGTTGTACAAAAATGTTTCGTGATACAGCTTCAATGAATAAACATTTACATACACATGGACCACGTGAGACTTTAATGGAAACTGTTTTTAATTTTAATTTTTTCATTTTGTTTTTCAGGTGTACATGTTTGTCATGAATGTCAAAAATCATTTGTTGAAAGCTCTAAATTACGTCGTCATCAACTTGTACACACTGGTGAAAAAGCATTTCAATGTCCCTTTGAAGGATGTGGAAAACGTTTTTCACTTGATTTTAATTTACGTACACATGTTCGAATACATACAGGTGATAAACCTTACGTATGTCCATTTGATGGTTGTAGTCGACGTTTTGCCCAATCAACTAATCTCAAACAACATCTTCTTACACATGCAAAAATTCGTTCACATCAACCATTTGCTATTCCAGCTGTTGCTGTTACTATTACAGAAATTCAACCTCAGTATTAAATATATATATATTCAATAGAACGCATATCCTTTTCTTTTTTTTTGTTTTTTTTGTATATGAACTATATTAATCCTGTGTTTTTTTTTGCTTGTCTATGTATGTGAATGTGTGTGTATGTATGTTGTTTTGTATATAAATGTTATATGGTCAACCAAGTCAGTCAACTAAATCGATGACGATATATTATTTTCTTCTAGTTTATTATTATTTGCTATTTTCTGTCGTCTAGAATGGTCTGCATCGTCATTTTTTTTCTACTAGACTTTTCCTCCTCTGTCGTATCTTTTTTTCTTTCTTGGTTTGTTTGTTTTAGAAATTGCATTCATTCATTCTTCTCAATAAAAAAAACCAAAGTGATGATTAAGATCAAACTGCTGAAATGAGTATTAAATGTATGATTTAAGCTTTTAGATATGGCAGATTTAAGGGAATTATTTTCAAAAGTAAAAAATGATGTAAAATCTACTAGAGTCGGAGAAAAACAACAATTGATTGAATCATCAGCAGCAAATGTTCCTCAAACTGTACAATCACAAACATGTCCTCAGTCATCTGAAAGAAAAATTCGGATAGTGGAATAGCAGCACGAGCTGCTGCTGCAGTTGCTGAAACAGCACAACAACGACTACAGCAACAATTATCTAAGCAAAAATCATGAACTTCAAGTAAGAATACAATGAGTTTTATTCTTTGATAGAATTAATAAATCTAAACCCATTTTCAATTAAGTAAGATTATATAATTTACAATCAAAAGTAAAACAGAAAACTTCTGTATTGCAGAATTAATTAGTTTTAATTTATATGTTGAAATGATCATTAATAAATTTTTGACAACTAGCAAAAGAATTTTATTCTGTATGAATATTTGTCATTGGTATAAAACAATATTTATGCGTATTATGATGTTGTTTATCATGTTCAATATTCCTGAAAGTTTCAATATTGAATTTGTCCCTTGTCGTATTCTTCTTTCTATTTAAATTACTCTAAAGTATTACTATGGCAGGAAAAAAACTAGTTCTCAAGTTATGGAATGCATACAAATGTAAAGACCTTGGAAAGTCAACGATAAGAGTGATGCTAGCCAATTATGTCTTCCTAGGAAAATGAAGATATCAAAGATTGACAAGTCGCAGTGTTACACTGCTCCCGCTTCATCTCATCGCAGGGTGGAGTGGTGAGGTGCAGCACTGCAAGATTTCACAATTTCGTCTGTCTCTTGACACTGTCTGAAATTCCCATATCTCGAAGAAACATTGATCAGAGCTCCTGATTTTTTTGTGAAAACTCGTCTAGTCGATTTCTCTATATCCACAAAGTTTCAGATTGAAACCCGAAAATGCGGATGTTCCAAAAATCTAGGGACTCTAAGAAGATAGAGATATTCAAAATTTGATATCCTAACCCAATGTCAATAGGAAGGAAATTCCTTTTAAGGCTTTTACTAGAACACTGTGTAGTATCTATAGGCAAAAAATCATTGAAATCGGAAGGGAGCAGCTAAAAAGATTTCGTCTTTTAATGAATATCTTGCGCATATTTCTATTTATATAGTGTGTTTACGCTAAAGTCTCTCTGTCTTTCAACTGATGTGGAAGATAATACAAAAGATATTTTGTTAACTATTTCTGATAATACTAACTAATACTTTAATAACTGTTACTGAAACGACATTGTTCAAAAACCATCCATATTTTGCTCAAAAGCAGAAAAAGTTTTAACAATTGTTGATTATTCTAAAAATTGCAGTGCTGACTAATGGAAACAATTCGGATTTCCTGCTCTTACTGAAAACAATGACAATGTGCTGAAAAAATTTGATAATTTTGTTTCTTGTCGAAACTGCTCGGTTTTACAATCCGTCGAAGAAAAAGAGTAATTGTTACTGTTTTTTATTATTCTATGTTTATGCTTTTGATCTTATAAAGTACAATAGTATTTATAAAAATCGACCAAAAGATTTGTGGACAGATGTTCTCTGAAAGATTACTCAGTTCTAGAAGCCTTTGATATGCTTGAATTGTCTCAATAAAACAATTTTTTAGGTAGTCGTACTACAGATAGTGTTCGTCGTCAAGCTCAACGTGAACTCGAACAAGAAAAAGCACTTAAAGATGAATATCAAAAAGTACTTGATTTAAAAGACCATTAGGTTGACAAACAACCAGTATACAAATTCATCTTATCTCTTCCTCATATATTTCATTTTTTGTTATATATATTGTAAAATATAGATTAGTATTGAAAGTGCACCTATTGTTTTTTATTCAAAATTATTTTTTAAATGTTCTGGTATATTGGGCGATAATATTTGTTTAACATATGATGAATTGCAATAACGAATTGAAAGTACACTAAAATCTCAATTAAATTCTGAACCAATAATTACTGCAATACTTCTCTTTTTTAACATGTAATCAAAAAGATCAAGATAAATTAAATATTGACAAAGAAATTATTTGCAGATATTTTCGATAATATTATTTCTAATCCAAACGAAGATAAATATCGTCGAATTCGTTTACAAAATAATATTTCTCTTGAAGTAAATTATTTAGTTTTCTAATATTTTTTTTTAATTTTCTTTTTTTTTAAGAAAGCTTTTCCATTAAAATATATCGCAGAATTATTTCAAACTAGTGGCTTTAGATCATTGAATGATAATGATTCAATAATTTATCAAGAATGTTCTATTGAACGATTACCCTTAGCACGTGATACGTTAATAAATAGTAAGCCAATAAAAATACAACTTGATAAAAATTTAAAAATATTTCAACCAACTACAGAACGATCATCTATACCTCCTATACAACTTTTACCATAAGATCTATTATTTTATCAAGTAACTATAAGCAAATTATTACGTGAAAAACAAAGACAAAAAGATCTACTTGAAAAAGAACAAATGTTGAGAACAAAAGCTATGCGTCAGCGTGATGAAAAGTCTTATTTTTAAATGTTCAATATAAGTATACAATTTTACATACTCGAATGCCTGTTGAAATCATTCTTCAAGTTATTTTTCAATCCAATGATCTTCGTTCATCGTGATTCGAATATTTACGTTTACATTGTCTTGTATATAACACACTTCCATTTATATTAACATCAATGGTTGATCGTCGAATCTATTCAAATCAAGATGAACAATCAATAACATTTAGTCAATGTGATCTTGCACCAACTGCATTTCTTTCATGCCCATGGAATGATCAAGCATTACGAGAAGTAAAAGAACAAACAGATCATTTTTCGGCTGATATTTATATTAAACCTGAAGTACTAATCAATGATGCTCGATTGTGAACTATTTTATGTATTTATTTATTTATTTATTTATATTGCTTCTTTTAATACTTAAAACAAAAGTCAATATATAAGCATAAATATACAGTACTAGTCAACAATTTCAGAACAACATATTTTTGATTTTCTTTCTATCCTACCAAGCATTTAACTGGAATCCAAGTAGCAGTTTGAATAGACCGTGAAAGTACCTATCAAATGTATTCCATACCGAAATTTCATAGATGGCCTATGAGAAAAATATTTCCGAAAACCAAGAGTGGTAGTTTTTCAGTCGCAAAAACTGCGTGAAAATTAGTTGTCAGAAATATCATCCTAAAGAGCATAAAATTCGAAATAAAATGATGGTTTTTCGAAGTTTCCACGACTTTCTCTCCAAAAGCAACAACCATCACAAAAAACAAAAAGTGTGTTTCTGTAGCAATGTTATGATAAATTTTCCTTTTTTTTAAATATTTTGTGATGCTTATAACTTTTTAAGAAAAAGTCATATGAAATGTGACAACCTGTCATTTTAATTACGATTTTGTGCTCTTTAAGATGCTAGTCTTACAAACTAATCTTCACGCAATCTTCTAGAATCTGAAAACTATCATATCTAGCTTTTCACAAATCTTCCTCTCACAGACCATCTATGAAATTTTGGTATGAAATATATTTGATAGAGAAATTCATTGTTTATTCAAACCATTATTGGAATTTGAGTTTTAAATGCTTTGTATCGTAGAAAAAGAAATGTGTGAGTCTTATATTTTTTACTAGTACCATATTTGTAATAGTTAAGAGATAACAATTATTGAAAATAATAATAAAAAATGGTGAATGTGCATATTTGCATCTCTAAAGAGATTCGAAATCTTAGAAGATTTTTGTCAATAATTATTGCAGATTTATTTATATAGTATTAAACGATATATATTCAAATATAATCTAATATTTTCTTTAATTGAGAAATAAAATAATGTTTGAGTTGAAGAACAATAGGATAAGTCAAAAATACATAACACTTCAACAATCCTAATAGTATATGTTTTTTCCTCGCATTTGATGACATGGATAGACGTTCGATCGGATGCATCATATTTTCGAGCTATTAAAAAAGATACTCAGTTTCAAAATACTGATCACGTCAAGAAAATATCAGTCGAATAGACCAAAGCAATCATTATATATCATAATGTAGTCATCGCGTTATTAGACGGATCGTTTAAAGTTCAAAACACAACATATGTGAAGTGCAAAGCAAATATGGTTGGTCATAGAATGGTCAAAAAAAGTAACGGAGTAGAAAATGGTTGGAAACTACTTTAGAAGAGTCTGATTATCAAAACACATTAGTTATTGTATGGCAAAATATTAACATTCTAACAAAGATCATACACAAGTAGAGCTCGTCGGGTTAATCCTGGGCCCGACAGGATTCGTGTCCAAAAATTTTGGACGCGTCAAACTATACAAAAGTCAAAAAATAAAAAAGAAACTAGAGAATCAGTTTTTCTGTTTAGAAACAACAAATGATAAACCATCTAAATATTCCATTACATCCATAAGACCATCATAATACCATTCACTAAGATTGTCCATACGACGTTAAATTGCATTTTTGTTGTTTTGTTTCGGTCTCAAGGATGTGATCTTCTTTCGTACCTACATCATATTGTTGATATTTATCTTTTTCTACATTTTCCCTTGAATAGTTTTTCTTTCGACCTTTTTATGGCACACTGCAAATATCATCATCACTGTCAATCGTAATTATGCTTAAAAATGAAAATTAACGAATCTGAAATTATTGGCTTGCCTCACAATGATATAATCTATGAACATTTAATTATGCAAAATTAAATATAAGTTGAATTTTAGTACAAATCAAAATAGCTTGAGTTATAGAAAAAATTTGAGATCAATTCTTGTTATGTTTCTCTTAGTATTAATAAATCAGTTGAAAAGAAAATTTAATATTATTCTCTTCAACTACTGATCAAATATCAAAGATTACTACTGAAAATATTTAAATACAATCTGCCTTGATAAAATTTTATTAGTGCTCTTCATCGGATAGAATATTGCACACTAAAAGAAATCTTTTTTTTGTTTGTTTTTGTTATTATAGTTTTTTTCTGTTATTTGTGTACCACTGCAAAGTCATTATCAACCAAACATTGGACCTGGATTTTCTGAATAATCGTCAAAACGACGTTGATATTGTCCATTATTGTTTAATACTTCAGCCCAAATATCTTCACCACTAGCTGATGTTGAATGAGGTTCTTTTCGTCGTACGATAAAATGTTCAGGAACAACATAAAATGGACGTTTGCGAACAAAAATGCCTAAATTTGATCCGCGGAAAAGTGGAATAGATGTACGTACATTTGGATCAATACGACGTTTGTCTAATTGAAATTGTTCGTCGGATGATGGTATTGCTGTTTCTTGTTGAGTATAGATAACAAAAGATACGAGCGCCAAACCTTAAAATTGAAGAATATCAGCATATGTATATTAAAAATCAAATTTACCGATGATGCACACTATTTGTGTGAGAGAAGCCATAATGATGTTGGAACCAGATAGAAAGATAAGAATGTGATGAAATGATAGTTTCAATAGGATAGATATTTATATGTCGTGCTTTTATCGCCTACTTATTTTAGTAGCTATTGAATTTTGTTTCTCTCTTCTCTTTTAAGCTTAAGAACAGTAAGCAACATGCAAAATGTGAGCGACATCGATGAAGATTTGACCAAATTGTCTTGCATACTAAACTTCTGACATTTCTTAAAAGTTCTTATTCTTATTTCTTGAGTTTATGATAGCAAGAGAAAGATTGCGTGTACAATGTAATTTGAGACATTATGCGTAGTTTTAAAAATATTTGATCCTTATACAAACGACCTGAACATGCACTATGATGACGTCAATCAATTGTCAAACCGATAATTTCTCACAATGAAGAACAACCATAAAATAGAACGTGACAAATTTCAGGTTAGTAAGACTGATTAATTTTCCGGTATTTGATCAAAGCTTTTGTGATAATTGATTGATTTACGAAGTGATTTAAGATTAATAGAATTATTTATGGATGTTCTTACGCTTGAAAAAATATCTAATCTTCAACTTATTAATAAACAAAGGTGAAACTACGTACGAGATCGAAATTATTCTATAAACTGCGAGTCAGATTGAGTGATGTATTGGTTAGATTTGCAGAATCATTGACTATCAGTGTATTTTTTTGTCATATTTTGGTGACACAGTATTTTTCTGTTTGACAGCTTATTCAGTTTATGTCTTATAAACAAACTAAGTCATGACATTTTTTGGGTGAGTGTTATATTTATTCTACCGAAAGCGACTATTAAGTTGAGCTAATAATCACTCTATTCTCTTTTTATTTTTACAACTGTAGAAGTCGTTGTACTGAATCATATTAATTTGGCCTGAAAGAAAAATATCAAAGAAAAAACGTAACAAAAAAAAAAAATATCGAAAAAAGTTTATTTTGAGATTCGAGACCAGCGAGATGAAGACACTTTATTGTGGGTGTGGGTATGCATGAGGATATTAGTCTTCTCTTGACATTTAATCCTACATCCACACCTTCTATCTTTGCCGTAGCGTGATGTAGAATCCAAAAATCACTCATCGGGACTATTAAAAAATGTTCATCTATGGAAAATGTCACATATTTTGCTAAGAAATAAAATAATGTTTCAGAGTAAAAGCTTATTTACTAGTTTTGAAGTAACCAAAGACAATTGTCTATGTTGTTCATCTCCTTTCATTTGAATATTAATGAATCAAAAAACTTTTTCAACAGAATACAAAATTTTGCTTTGCATATATTCGTCAAATTATATTACGTGAAAACTTTTCGGTTTTCGTTAGATAATCATTTAGATATTTTTTTTTCCATTTTCGAAATATTGAATACAAAATCAAGTGAAATATCCGATTCTTAGCTAATTCACATTATGATGAATTATTGCCACCGTTTTTATTAATAATTAATTCAATTATTTCATTTGATATAAAATGGTGTTGTGATGCCATTGCTTTTTCTGATGGAAAGTTAAAGTTTTTCTAATTTTTTGTCACAGATATAAATTGAATATTCAAGCATTGTAGTACTAATGAACAGAAAAGGAAACATATTATCTTAGTACAAATATTTCTAATGAAATACCTATGCGTGTATGATTTCACATATAAAAAATAAAAATTCTATTGATGTTTAAAAAAGATAAAATCAACTAAAAGATTCATAATATATGTGACTGTTCAATTATTCAAACATGTATGTCACAGTTGACATGAGAATTCAGTTGAGTTTGGAACATACTAACGAATATGAAAAAAAAACTTTTTCTAAACATAATTTTTCATATAATAAGAATAAAGCTTTATAAATAATATGATATAATTCACTTGTACAAGAGTTCATAAAAAACAATGCTTCATTAAACAACAAATAAGAAAGCAATGAACACGTCTTTCTTTTTCATAGGTTTACGTATTTTTATTTTACTAATAAAACAAAGAGATTCTTATTATGTATATTTTAGTTTCCAGAGTGCTCTATCATATTGAGTATACAAGTCATAAATTCATTAGAGTTTGTTCTTGTAATCAACTTTTGAGATTATAGAGGCATAAGATAACTGGTTGAATTATAATGATTTATTGTATCATTTTGTAAATATTTATATATTTCAGTTTTTACATTTATGTGATTGATTAGTATTTACTAAATATTAAATTTTGACATCATTTTTTCTATTATGTACTTTTGTTTCTGTTCGCGATCAACTTTTGTTACGGAATAGATATTTTCAATACTAAAATACAGGTACGGGTTTAGAAGATATGGTCACCTCCCCTTCACAAGAATTTTTTCCATCAAAAACGAAAGAAAAACAAGTGAACACTACTTGAGATGAGTCCTAAAAAATAAGTGTTGTTTATGATCGTTCCCTGCCTTCCAAAGTCCTAGATCCATCACGACTAAAATACAATATTTTACTGACAAACTTGATACAAAAATGTGCCAAATGGAATAAAACTTAATAAAAAGTTTTTGTGTTTGCTGATATGTATGACAAATAGCTGTTATATTGTAGTAATTCAATCAATGACAATTAATAACAGTTCAAATAAACATTTTTTCCAAACTCCTGCTCGAGTAAAATGAATAGAAATCAATCTATTTTACTAATTATTGCCATATGATCAATCATTAAAAGTCACCATACTCCATCGTCAGAAAAAATACAGCGACGATATTTATTCACATCAACACACACAAAAAATAAGCAGCTTATTACTGTTTTGGATGATAATAATAATTGACACATATCTCCATGATGAAATCATTCACTACAACTGTCAGCACTTTGATAGATAATTTAAGTTGACTATTAATTCATAGATTTTGTTAAGGAATACTTTCATTTATCATACACCAACAAGAACTGTTCAAAGGTTCAATCGTGGATAAAAAAACACATGCTAATATCTTTATACACCTAACATTTTTGTCGCAAATGTATTATGAAATCATCACTTCGTTTTAATTCTCTATTATTATTACTGATCATAAATCGAATGAAAAATTATTGAACAAGTTAAGAGAAGATCTAATAATACTACTTTGGTGTCTACTACTAATTTTGTAAGGATTCTTCAAACGAAACTACACACATTTTTTACTATCATCAAACGAACACATGTCTATGTAGAGTTTCGAACTGTGTAAGATGTAATTTACAATGATCAATCTAAAGATAATGACATTTCGAAAGATTATTGAAAAAACTTTTTGAAAGACAATTATTAGTTAGTTTGCTATCGATGTCATAGGAATATCGGTCGACGATGCTTGTCTGTAGATTAAGTTGATTATTCGAATATATTTTGATATTGGTATAACTAGAACTGTCTCGAGGCAGCCAACATTAGGGGATATCGTGATTTTTTTCTAAGAGAACGTACAAAAATTTTCGACTTCACTGAGAAAAAAACAATGTCTTCTTGATTGAGGTGTCACTCTTGACTATAATAATTCGTTTTTTAAGCTTTTATAAAACAGTTGTTGCTGTCATATGATAGAGTGTTAAAGTAGAGAATATTCAATGTGCGAATTTTTTTTCCCATGCATTTATAGAAAATGAATTATAAAAAAAGAATATCAGTGTTGTACATCATCGATGATAAAATCAGTGAATCAAAGTAAAATGTATTGTATTCTCAACCATGTTGCCAAAATCGATGCCAGAACGAATGGATTGGAGTAAACTGATGACTTTCGAGTTCGGCAATTTCTTCATTTGTCAGACGCCATCCTAAAGCACCAGCATTTTGTTCAGCTTGTTTACCATCTCGAGCACCACCAAGTGGAATAACACCTTTAAAAGAAAATAATATGTAAAGCATTACATAGTTAAGATTTTTATATTATTAATTTGATAAATGTTTTCTAATTTACGATGCCTAATGTTATTATTAAAAGAAAGACACATCAAAGAAATATTTTTTCAGATTAAATATCATATTTTCCATATGAAAATAATATTTATTTTCTCAATGAAAACTAATGTGAATTTGTTTTCTTTTGTTCATTTTACCGTAACTAGAAAACGATTCAAGTACGTCTAGTAACACATACTCGACTATAACGGTTCTCTATAATAGTTCTTGTTAATAGCAAAGACATCTATTCTAATACGACTGTTCGCATTCGAAATTTTATTCTTTATTTAACTTAAATAAAAATATTCTTCATTCTAAAGTCCTTCAGACACTTATGCCTGATCAATTGAGTTTAGTAAGAAAATGCTATATGAGAGCAAACTATAATGGAATTATTAAGTCAACTAGCTTAGTTGATTTTGAAAAATTGATATACCAAATTTGATTTTTAAATTTTGTTTTGTGGGCATATTATAGACTTCATAATATACGAAAAATGATCAAAAATTATCTACCTTTACATATGACATAATTCAAAGCCACTGATGAAACACTAACATTGTGTTTATTTGCAACACGTCGCATTGTTTCTAATATTGGCTCTAATTCGCTCATATTAACATTAGAGAAATGACGACCTGAAGGAGGTGGATTTGTTTCTGAATATTTACCAGTAAGACGACCCATAGCCTAATGAATAGCAAAACAAAGATGAGTATGAGTAAAATAATAAAATTTTATTCAAAAAACAAAAAAAAAATAATTTATTTACTTACAAGAGGAGAATATCCAAGAACAGCAACACCTCGTTTATGACACTCAGCAATATGTCCAGATGTTTCTGGTGAACGTCGAAGAAGTGAAAATTCAACTTGATTTGATGCAAGTTGAATACTATGTTTTTGTAAACAATCATACATTTTAATCATTTCATCTGTTGAATAATTTGAAACACCAACAGTCTTAGTTAAACCAAGTTTAACTGCTTCTGCTAATGCATCAGCAACAACTTCAATTGAACGTAAATGAATGGGACCATGAATTTGATAGAGATCAACACAGTCAACCTGAAGTTAAAACAAAGATATTTTTTGACAACTTTTGAAGGTTTGTATTATAGAGTTAATAAGCAACTGTCAAATCGATGCAATTTATTTGTTTCTTAAAAGTTTCTTGTGTTATTATTTGGAGAAAGAGGGAACACACGCAAAAAAACAAAGAATACGGAAAAATGTATATCTCACTATGGTTGTAACAAGTTCATACTTGTTGTATTAGGATTCCTCGAAGTTTGATATCTCAAAAATAACAGAATAAAAATGAATAGGCGATTGGTAGATTCTTTGTACATTTAATCGTAATCAACATATTAGACTAATTTTAATACCTGTAATCGTTGCAGACTTGCTCGAAGTGCATTAAGGAGTGAACTTGGATAAGAAAATTTGTAAGGATAAGGAAGAAATTTTGTAGCCAAAACAATATCTCCTGCATTGGGATGATTTACTTTGTATCGAGCAATAGAACGTTCACTAAAAAATAAATTTAATTATTATTTTTATTTTTTCTGTTTATTTACCTTTCACCATTACCATATATTTCAGCTGTATCAAAAGTATTAATACCTTTTGATATAGACATATCAAATGCTTCCTTAGCTTTTGCATCAAATTCTTCATTCCAAGCCCATGTTCTTTTATCACCCCATGCCCAAGTACCCAAAACTATGAAAGTCAACAGATGTCATTAAACATTCACATTGAACACCTTCTACTTACCAAGTGGAGAAATTAAAATACGATCTGCAAGTTTAATTTTTGTCTCTGCAGTCGGAATTGTATCACCTGGTATATAAACATTATAAATATTAGAACTCGATGCCATGACGAATAATAATAAGTTCTCAAAAATGAATTATACGTACGTCCCAAAAATGAGGTGATTATATTTTTTTTGATAATTTGTCTAGTCATTATTACAAACAAGAGAATATTACAAATGGATGAATTTTAACTCCAGTTAATAGGTAGTTTTGATAGGAGGCGCTACCTTCCCTCCTAATAATGAGGATTCCTGAATTTGAGACCTTTTCAATTTATTGCAATGAATTAATTTTTAATAAACATTATTTTCTTTCTTAGAGTTCATTTATATATAAAGATATTGAAAAATAAAATTATTATAAAGATTATATAATACAAGCGTCACATTAGTTTTTATCAACGAGAGATAGTTTCACTAACTACACGACTAGAAAAATATAAACAAACAATATAAGCGTATGATGGGCAAGAAATTTTTCAGGAGAATTGCAAAAGTAAAAAAGAAATTTGTTTGACAAAAATCACTAGATATTAAAAAAAAATGTTTTCGGATTAATTATCAATCGTAATTAGCTAATGTAATTGTCGTAGTGTTTGGTTTGATCATCTTTTCATTCTTTGTTTCTTCTTCTTCTTCTTCTTCTTCTTCTTCTTCTTCTTCTTTGTTACGTAATCGTTTAATTAAAGGTATCAAAAGTGTTACAAAGCCGGATATACCCATAAATATACCAGCAATAATTAATGATGTTTTATATCCGTATTTTTCTGCGATCCAACCTATTATAACAGTACAAACAGAAAATCATATTACATTTGTTTATCGATATAGTTGAAAAAAGTATTTTAATGTTTTGTTTCAAACAGTTAAAAAGTGATAAATGAAATAAAGTTTGTGCTAAGCCGATGTTCGAATAAGAAATATCTATTTCTGCAATAGTACACAATTATAGCAATTAAAATATCGCATTCTTTTAGATGATGAGGTCTCGAAACTGATCTTTTAGAGCTGTATTAATTATTGATTTCTTTCTTTACACTGCTTCGGTATGTCATAATTATCATTTTTTTCCATGAGAATATACATAAATAGAAAAACTTTTCTTATTTACAATGAATTACATTATATTTCAGTGGAGAGCTCTACTTTTTCTGTTACCTCCAACAATCGGACCGAATAATGATGATATACCTTGTCCAAGTAAAATAAGTCCATAAGCTGATGTTAGTAATTCTAAATTACACATATTCGCAAGAATAATTGGTGTTAATGCATAATTAGCTGATATTGCAAGTCCAAAAAGTAGAACAACCATAATTAATGCAATATAGGAATAAACAACAAATGGTATAAGTGAACTAGCAAGTCCACAAAGTACTGCACCAATATCATAAAGTATTAATTCATCAATACTTGAATAATTAGCTAAAACTCCAAATAGAAGTTGTCCAAAAAATTGTCCAAGACCAAGTACAGTAACTAACATAGTCATTTGTTTTTTGGAATAACCAATTAACGTTTCACCGTAGTCGACTAGAAGTGATAGTAAACAACTTAAGAAAACACTTCTTTTCTCTCAAAAATGAAAGTTACCTGGAAACAAATAAATTAAATCATAAAATAAATAAAATGAAAATTGTGATATAAAAAAAATAACATAACGATAATCACGAAATAATTGTAAACCTAACATTCGTCGCAATGTATGAAGAAATGATAAACCTTTATGATAAAATAGTAATCGTCGACGACGATTATGGCTTGAATTACTATTATCATCAATTATTGACGCAATTGATTTTTCATAAACATAAGATTGAAGTAAATTTGGACAGCTTTTTCTTGATAAATCAGACCGTTTTAGGGACACATTACCAGGATAGAAAATATCTTTTTGACTTATTGGTTGATAATAAACTTCTAATAATTGTTCTTCTGGCATACGAGAAAGAAAATGAGTAGGCAAACATCTTATTGAATCTATTTTCTCAATAGTTTTATCATTTTTAGTGTGACTTTTTAATGAAGAATGAGCCTTGGTTATATGTATTTCTTTTCGACATGTTTTTACATCAAAATTATCGTTAAATTCATTTTTAAGTTCTGTAATATCATCAGCTGAATAAGAATCAAATGAACCTAATTTTTTTGTTTCGTCATATGATGTTGATGTGTCAACGGTTTGATTGGTCTTATTTGACATACGTTGTTTATCCCTTTCATTTATAAAACGTTGTAATTTTTCCGTTGAAGTCATCGATGTTGATGGTAAACAGTTATCATTTCTTATATGATGATAATTTTTATTTTTACGACGAAATGAAAATTCTACAGGACGAAAAAGTGCACCAAAACCAACGATTGTAAAAAGAACTCCGGCCAAAAATAATGTGGTATCTCTCCAATCATCATAATAATTATTTAAAACATGAATTAATTGTGCAACAATAGCATTTCCAAGACCTGAAAGTTGAATTTAATTTTTTTTGTTTACAAATTTTTCACAGTTCAAACCTGTTCCACCAACAGCAATAGCTGTTGCAATAGCACGATGTTCATCAAAATAATATGCTACTATAACAACCGCTGTAACATAAACGCATGAGAGACCAGCTCCTATTTGAATATATGTAAAAATAAGAAATTACAAAGCAAATATTTTCTTACCGCAAAAAATTCCAATACCAATAAGAGCGCCAATAAAATTCCCAAGGAATGAAGCCAAAATCAAACCAATTGAACAAATAAATCCACCTAGCATAGCTATTAATCGACATCCCAGTTTGTTGACTAATGCACTAGATAATGGTGCTAAAAGCAGAGGTAAACTAACGAATAATGATGCAATAATACCAACTGTATGTAAATCAATTTTAAGATCATCTTTAATTACATGCATTAGAATACCGAATGAAAAAAGAACACCATCAGCAACAAAATGAATACAAAACGATGAAAACACAATAACCCATCCCCATGATGTTGTATGACGTACGACAGTAGGTACCGAAGAAATATCGGTTGTATTCGATTCATTATGTCGGCGACGTTTTACTTTACTTTTCTGCGATGAAAGTAATTGGAATGAAGGGGACGATGATGCCGCATGTGGTAACGATTTTGTTGGTGTTTGTAATGAATCATCGGATAACATTGTAAATGAGTTTTATTGATTCGACATTTTTCTTAGTCGAAAAAAAAAACAAATTTGTATCACTTCATTGAGCAATAGGAAATAATAGATCGAATAATATTCAGACAAATTCGTAAAAATCGAGAACAAATAATAAATAGCAGTGATTATACACCTAATGATGCTTTGAAAATGCTATTTTTGTGCTATTCTGAAAGCATTTGGAGATTTCTAGAGTGAAGTAAATGTAAGAAGAATTCGTATGATCATATTTGACGACAATGAGACAACGAAAACAGATATCAAATCTCTCAGCTCGAATAATTTTATGTCGAATAATCGATGTTTTTATATACTAATAATTATGCTTACAGAACCCGATAAAAGCAATAAACAAAAAAAAAAAAAATAACGAGCAACTGAGCAAAAATTTGTATTGACCTTGACTTTCTCTTTTCCTATGTAAAAAAAGAAAAGAAAAAAAATATAATTACGTCCTATTTCTTTTTCTTATACTATTTCATTTAGTATAGCATACAAAAATAACTAGTCACATGATGAAAAAATGACACACACCATACATTCGTTTATATTAAAAACAAGTAACGCAGTGCAAACGCTGCTAACCCTCTACTGAAAGGATGAGTTACATCGAAGAAAGAATATTAGAAGTAATATATATGGGAAATGGTTCGTTGGCAGCACGTTGAGGAGCTGCATGAAACGAACCATTATTCTTCAAGAGTTGGAAATTTAGATTCCCATATTCTGTATCCCCAACGAAAAATGCATATTCTGAGCATGTTAAAAATATGCTTTATATCCCCATAATATCGTCAACATTCTTCGTGCTCGGTTTTCTCAGTTAAATATTCTTATAGCATTATCTATATTCTGATCAAACGGTTAGTATCGCGTTCCCTTGTTTCAAAATGTCTAAAATTTGAAACCAAGCGATTGAAGGTGATAAAAAGTCCTGCGTTAAGACCCAAAAATGAATAAATGCCTGCAGCAAGATGTGTGTCAAGATTCGTGGCTCAATCAAAGCAATTTTTATTACTTTCATTTCATGGAAAAAGCACGATAGTGCAGCCTCTTTGGGACTGAAATGTAGAACTCACATATACTCACAAAAACTCGCTCTTAAACTTACACTCACCATTTTCTTCGAAATTTATGTGAGTTCGACAAAACTAACTCAGCACTCAATATATTTACTACAGTAGTGTAGATTTTCTCTCGAGCCATTTAAGGTAAACAAATATATTATTCACTTTTTATTTTTTATCTCTCTCATGTTCTTTCATGAAGAGGACAGTGTCGATATAGTTCTTCTCTTAACGCATACTCCCATTCACATTCCATCCCATAAATTTATATCAACAATAAAAACGTGTTAGCGTCAGTGATGATACACTGTGATGCTAAATCAAGATTAAGACGCGCTTTCTGGTTTAATTGGCTTAGGACATTTGCCCGGATAGCAGGAGATGTGGGTTCGAGTTCCACGAAGATCGTCTTTTTCTTCATTCTGTTCGTTCATTGCACTTCTAATCGTATGACTCATATATGATGCTTACAAAACCCTGTCGCTATTCGACTGGATATAGCAGAGTAATGATATACACGGTTCTGTTTCACTACGAACTTGATAACTGACAAAGATAAAGACTTTGAGTCGAAAATTCCCGCTTTTGTAATTCCATATCCAGACTATATATGATTCAATTGAAACTGACTGTGCTGTTGTAGAGCTAAAACAATTTTATTGTGAGTATCGATGTACAATAAAGTCACTAAACCGCATTTTTTTAGTTCTAATTCGTTGAAGGATACGCCAATGAACTCCAAAGATGCTCGAAAACTTCGATCGATACTCATTCATGCCTGTCTAAAATTCTTAGAGATACATCTCGTACTATAGACAAATGAAGGCATATAGAATATGAAGATATTGTAATAGATATGGATATTTGAATACGCAGCATATTGGCTTTATGTTTCTGATAAATTACTAGCATGGGTTCGAGTACTGTTACTCTGAAATAAAATAATAAAAGGAAAAATTCTCATTATAAGTATATCATGGAAAGTACGATAGAATTTTTAACATAGAATATACGTATGTCAATTTAAACTCAGCTTTTTGTTCTTTTAAATATTGAAAAGCCATGTCAAGATAAAGTGTGGCTTCTATAGAAAAATCAACTGATATTCGTCTATCTATTCAAAAGCTATGAGGATTCTTTTGACAACTTTGTAGATTCGAATGAGTGGCTGAAAAAGAGATATCAAGTCTCTTTCTCATCGGCTGTGGGTGTGACTGTGGCTGTGAGGGTCTGGGTGTTGGTGTAGGTTGAGTCAAGACTAGCACCCACACCCACAACCGTGGTTGTGCCTCTGGGTGTATGAGTATAACTGTGGGATGGGTGTCGAGTTGCGATTGCAAGTGTTCTCTTCACCATCATCAATGCCGAGGCCGTCACTTCTACGCCTATACATATCCACATGTCCCTAATACATATTTTCTTGATTTTGTCTCTTCTAATGGATTCCCTACCTGCTGCTGCGTTTTAGACTTAATTGCGCATAGTAGTTGAATTGCAATTTTAGAAAAGTCAAAAACCGCTGAAAATGTAGTAGAAGCGTCTCCTTATATAGATTACTTCATCATTTTGCTGACGTTTGTTGAAGAGGCGAACTTGAAGAGAGCAATAATAAAATTTATTGCGGACAAAAGAAACATGGCAATAAAATATTATTATCTTTATTGTTGAACTTTTTTCCGCAGATATTTATGCCGATAGAGAAAATATGTGTTTAATCGACAAAGCTTAAAACAAGCTGAGAAAAAAGCAAAAACAATAGATTCTCTGAAAATTCGACGATAGGCTTCAAGAGTTACCTGTTTTTAATCTGGATGTTAGTGTAAGTGTATGGCGTGTGGTGAATGTGAGTGCGACTGTATGAGGCGCTGTGTGGTGGGGGGGGGGGGCAAGGTAGGTATGAGTGTTGGCGTGGATGTGGGTTTGTCGGGTGCACTGTAAAAAATGGACATAGAATAATAAACCCTCAAAAAGGATTTATGACCACGGCATAAACCATTTTTAGGTTTATGGACGTAATCTACCCTCTCATAAACCCCTTTTTTTCATAAACCTTGGCAAGGGTTGGTTATACGTTGCAAATTCATATACCCTTGCAGTGTTTTCTGTGCTCATAAACCCTTGTTGAGTATATGAACGCAATAAATCCTTAGACAAAGGGTTTGCTATGCTACATTTTAAAGACAACCGTAGAATAATAAACCCTTTGTCTAAGGATTTATGAACACAGAAAACAGTACAAGGGTATATGAGTTTGCAACGTATAACAAACCCTTGCCAAGGTTTATGAAGGGGGCACCCCCCCTCAGAAAACCCGATTTTTCGAAAAAAATCGGAAATCGAGTTTTTTTCATAGAAAGATTCGCCGTATTCTCCTCTTTCAGAATATATATAGGTTTTTGAAAAAGGCTTAAGTTTTAAGGGAGTTACAGGAGAAACATTATCCACCATAATCACGTTTT